CTTGTAGATTCTGAATTGGTTTTAGAATTAGGATTGATGAAGAAGAATTACCTGATTAGAGTTTGAATGGATAAGACTGAGCTTTATTTATTAGCTACTGATGCCTCTGACAGGTTTAATCGCTAACACTCACTTGTGCATGTGCTCCACTCCAGTCAGGATCATGATGCCGTAGGTGAGTCCACTCTGGAGCAGGAAGTGAAGCGCATACCTGCAGAAAGAGGATGCAGGGATTTAAACACTAACCGATGGAGGCATTTCTTCCTTGAGAAAGATTTCATTGTTTTTATAATCAACAGTAATTGAAGGGTCAAACCTACAGGAAGTCCTCATAGATAAATAAACAGATAACGAGTGATCAGATTATCTGCTTTAGCTTTTACTAAAATCTTAATTATTAAAAAAAAAGTAGCGATCCCCCAAAACAAAAACTTAAAAACTAAAATGGCTTGATCACAGTTTGTTGGCCTTTTTCGGCAGCATCATGCTGTGGGCTGGTTGAAACGGGGTCGCTCCAGGGGGTAGATTTGAAGATTTTTCTATCTTGTTTGTTATCATTTTAGCATTGAGACACGGTTCTATGGAGGACCAGCTCTACCATATTAAAATATAAATACAGAAATAAATAAATGCTCAATAAATAAATAAGCATATAATTAATTGCCTGAAAAAATACAATAAATAAATAAATGTTTTATTAAATGCTAACCAACCAATGGGCAGAAGTTGACCCTCTAAGACACGCCCCCTCCTCTTTTGCATAAATAAATAGCATTGAAGAAATGAATAGGGTAAAAAAATACAAAGGAAGAATAAACAAAACAAAAAAAATTATAACATGCACATAAATAAAGTTACTAATAAATAAAGCTGAAGATTATCCCGGCCAATAAATAAATAAGCTAATTATTACAAAGGCGAGTAAATAAAGAAGCTAAATAAAAGTATGTCTCACTGTATGATTTAATTTCTTCCTACATTTATTAGTTTATTGTATTTTTTTGAGGCAATTAATTGTATGCTTATTTATTGAGCATTTATTTATTTATGCATATATTTTTAAATATGGTAGAGCTGGTCCTCCATACGCCGCTTCAACAGGCAGGAGAAGAAAGAAATCTACACCAAATTCTAACTGGCTT